TAGTCTAATCATCCATGGTTTTATATTATGATGCAGCGCAGCCTTATGATTGTCTCATGCATAAGCTTAGTTTGCAGAGATGAAACCCTTCGGTAGACTCATCCTAAACGTACGTCTTGCAATGGCCGTTGCTCATTATTTTTGTCCAATAATATCACACTAAAGAAGTATACTACTTGTCAAGTAGTGCATACAAAGTAAGTGAATTTCGCACATCTGCTAATCCACAGCCTTTCTTTTGTTTCGTCTTACCACAGGTACGATGCCAGCATGCGCTTTGATCAGCAGTTCATGGACAGTATGGCAGGCCGGCAGAATGTTTATAGTGCGGATGAGATGAAGGTGGACTGCTGCTTGCTCAGCCACAACAACAGCTACGTTGTGACCGGGTCAAGCAGTGGGCCCCCGCAAGTCTGGGATATGCACGTAAGCTCTACTCTTCTTCGCATTTCTACAAGTCATCGTACTGTTGTTTGAAAATTGTGATAGTTCCATTTTATTTTTAACAAACTCTGCTTCGCCTCGGTTTGATGTGATTTATTAAGAGGGCCGAATAAAGAATGTTGCTGGGTGAAATATGGAAACTTCGTATTTTTACTAAGCCCCCATTCCTTTTGTCAACTTTTTCCGTAGCGCTAGTGTAGTAGTATTTATCAGGCTTAAATGCGTTTCACTGATGGGAATAGGACAGAATAAATAATTATGATATCAGCCATTTGACACTCACTTAGTGGGAATTGAGATCTGTTCTATACACACTTAGCTTTACAATATTTAAGAGATTAATTCAAACCTGGTGTGACAGTTTATCTCAAGTCTTGGTTCATTACAGACTTGAACCAACTGTATGCATGCTCCACTTAACTCACTCGCGTTGATGTGTACACACTTGGGAAAATCAGTCTATACGAATAGTTGGGCCACATCTTTCCACATTATAAGAATATCTTACATCATGAATGATTAAATCTGACTTTTCTCTTGAGTTTTTGAGAACTGGAGTTTGAGCGAGCGTTCGAATAGTATGCTGCCTTTGTATG